TTCCTTTTTCTCTCCCTTGGTCTTCCCATAAATCTATTTTAAAATTTCTGTCTGTCTGTCTGTCTGCTTGTCTGCTTGTCTGTCCCTCTCTCTCTCTCTCTCTTTGCATCATTTTCTCTTTTTTCTCTTTCTTTTTCTCATCATCTCTCCTTCACTCCTCACTCCAGTGTCAGAGCACTGACTCGCTCATTTCCTATGCATTTCCGTCAGTCAGTCAACCAGCCGACCGACCAACCAGGTAATGATTCAAAGTCACGTGACTCTATGACGTCATCGTGCTTGCTTGCTGTTGAAGGAAGTGGAAGTGAATGAAGGCACGGGCAGAGATTCGATTGTGCGGCGCTTAATTTTTCAATCGTCAATTTTTTCTGCAGTGTTTTGGCATCGTTATTATGAAATTAAGAAACTTTCAATTTTCAAAAATGTGTAACACGTCATAAAATATCTACAGGGTGAAAAGAGGACATGAAACACGAATGAAGAGAGAGAGAGAGAGAAAGAGAGAAAAAGAGACAGGGAGAAAGAGAGGGAGTGAGAGAGAGAGAAAAAAAGTGAGAAAAAAGAAAGAATGGAAGAAAAAAAGAGAAAGATATGAAAGAATTTAAACATTTGTGGTTATCGCATTTCATAAACAATATTCTCTCTCTCTTTCTCTCTCTTTCTCTCTCTTTTTTTTCTCTCTCTCTCTGTTTCTCGCGTTTGAGAATTTATTTATTTGTTTCAAAGTCTTATATCTTAATGTTTATTTATTTCATTGCATATCTAACTGACCGGCTTAAGGCACGGCTGGACGTGCTCTTATGAATAATTGTATAATGTTTTCCCATGCTTCTACAATGTTTCCATCTCTCTGGTATATTTTGCCGGTATATATATATTTTTTTTGTAAACATTTGCAGTCCTCCAGTATCGTCTTCTCAAATTCTTCTAAAAGATTTTCATGGTCTTTTTTTCTCAATTTTGTTTTTGCAGGAACATCTGCCATTTCTCATTATTTTCATTATTATCATTATTATTCGTATTATTGTTATAATAACAACAACAATAATAATAATAATAATAATAATTATTATTATTATTGATATATTTACCAGAAGACCGTGAGAGCAGAACTCATCTTTCCACAACCTTTTAAAACATTTTATTCCATACTTCAATCTCTGCGAGCTAAAAAACAACAATAATAATAACAACAACAACAACAACAACAATAATAATAATAATTATAATTATAATGTGAACATATTTCATTTATCCAATCGACACAATGATAATAAATTGTAACTAAGATGTTAAAATGAATAGAATAAAAAAATAATCAATAGAATAAAAATAATCACATGTACGATCCACCCATCCTCATGTTTCTGTCACAATAAATCCCATATGACGAGCTAATAACACTGTTTATTAATTTAAAGTTAAACGGTATTGACCATGTAAATTTAAATATCGATAGATTAAATATAATATAAGAATATAATAATTATGATAATTATAATAATAATAATAACAGTAATAATTATAATGACAAAAAGAACAAAGAAACAAATCTTAAAATGCGAGAACAACTTAGAGAGAAACCAAACAAAAAAGATTATTCAAGTTGTGAAACAGAAAAGAATACATACATTCAAACATACATGCATACATACATACATACATACATACATACATACATACATACATACATACATACATACATACATACACACACACACACATACATACACATACATACATACATACATACATACATACATACACACACACACACATACATACATACATACATACATACATACATACATACATACATACATACATACATACATAAATATACATACATACATACATACATACATACATACATACATACATACATACATACATACTACATACATACATACATACATACATAAATATACATACATACATACATACATACATACATACATACATACATACATACATACATACAAACATACATAAATATACATACACAAATTTTGAAATTTTTTTTGAACGAATACAAAATACAATAGTATTATCACTAATTAAATTGGCTGATAGATAGATAGATATAATAATAGATGAATCGATAGATATATTAGATAGATTTGATATTCTTCTTCATCTCTCTCTCTCTCCTTCTCTTTCTCTCCTCTCTTTCTCTTTCTTAATTTCTGTTTCCTCTTACTCAATCTCATTTATTAGCAAAAGAAGTCATTTCATTTTGTAATCTCACTTCATTTCTCTCTCTTTCTCAATCATTCTCTCGCCCACACTTTTTTGCTCTCTCTATCTTTCTATCTCTCTCTTTTTTTTCTTTCTCTTTCTCTATCAATTTCTTTCTATTTATTTTTCTCTCTTTCTCTCTGGCTAGAATTGCTGAAAAAAGAACCTTGTGCTAGCTTTGTCTCTCTCGTGAATGTTGTAAGTTTTCCTTTAGTAGTTTCTCTCTCTCTCTCTCTCACACTCTCTCTTTCTTTTTATCTTTCTCTCTATCTTTCTCTTTATCTCTCTCTCTATCTTTCTCTTTATCTTTCTCTTTATCTTTCTCTCTATCTTTCTCTTTATCTTTCTCTTTATCTCTCTCTCTATCTTCCTCTTTATCTTTCTCTTTATCTTTCTCTTTATCTTTCTCTCTATCTTTCTCTTTATCTTTCTCTTTATCTTTCTCTTTCTCTTTATCTTTCTCTTTATCTTTCTCTTTATCTTTATCTTTCTCTTTATCTTTCTCTTTATCTTTCTCTTTATCTTTCTCTTTATCTTTCTCTTTATCTTTCTTTTTATCTTTCTCTTTATCTTTTTCTTTATCTCTCTCTCTATCTTTCTCTTTATCTTTATCTTTCTCTTTATCTTTATCTTTCTCTTTATCTTTCTCTTTATCTTTCTCTTTATCTTTCTCTTTATCTCTCTCTCTATCTTTCTCTTTCTCTTTATCTTTCTCTTTCTCTTTATCTTTCTCTTTATCTTTCTCTCTATCTTTCTCTTTCTCTTTATCTTTCTCTTTCTCTTTCTCTTTATCTTTCTCTCTATCTTTCCCTCTTTCTCTCTCTCTCTCTCTTTCTTTCTCTCTCATGCATTTTGCTTGGGAGGATTAAATAGAATTTAGGAGAGAAAAAATTGTTTGTCTTCTGATGAATGGTGTAAGAAGTTCGCTTGAAGCACTAGTTGATAGGGCAACGACGACAACAATGATAATAATAATAATAACAATAATAACAATAATAATAATTATTATAATTATAATTGTATTAATTCCATCACAAAAAAGTTGTAAAATCCATAAGCTCGCTTTTGAAATTTGTTAACCACCGATTTAAGCGGAATGAATGAAAAGTCGTACACGCAATTTGTTTTACATTTGTTGTGGACAACTGCCACAACAACAACAACATGAACAACAACATGAACAACAACATGAACAACAACATCAACAACAACATCAACAACATCAACAACAACAACATCAACAACAACAACATCAACAACTACATCATCATCAACAACAACATCAACATCGTCATCATCAACAACAACAACATCAACAACAACCATGACGAAACGCAGACAAGTACCGACAGATGAAAGCGAATTTACATACATAAACAACATCAATGAAAAACCGCAACAAAATCTTCATGACATCAACCACAACAACAACAAACTATACATACAAACATACAAACAAACAAACAAACATACATACATACATACATACATACATACATACACACATATATACAAACAAACATACATACATACATACATACACACATACAAACAAACAAACAAACATACATACATACAAACATACAAACAAACAAACAAACAAACATACATACATACATACAAACATACATACATACAATCATACACAATGATGGCATTAAAAAACATTCAATGCAATTTACTAAAATTAAAATCCGGAAAAAATCATTTCGCACTTGTCTTAAGCAATTCAATGATTGAATCTTTTGTTACATGAATGTATTTGTTTGTATTTGTTTGTATTTGTTTGTGTGTGTTTGTATGTGTTTGTGTGTGTTTGTATGTGTTTGTTTGTGTTTGTTTGTGTGTGTGTGTGTTTGTGTGTGTACGTGCGTGCGTGCATTATGTTCCTCCTATTAACATTCGACACGCAATAGGACAATTATTATTTGGTTATTATTATTATTATTATTGTTATTATTGTTGTTATTATTATTAAAATTATCAAAATGTATAAATTAATGTTAATAGTAATAAAAAGACATACGTACGTACATATATACATACATACATACATACATATATACATACAAACATCATATAAATATACAAACAAAAATCAAAAAGCAACACGGTAATCATTATGATCTTCCGATCTGATGACTTCAAATCTTTAGAGTTTTGTATATTTTGTTGTTGTTGTTGCGGTTGTTGTTGATGATGATGATGTCAACAACGGTGATGATGATGATGAAAACAACAACGGTGATGAGGATGACGATGATGATGATGAGGAGGAGGAAGATGGTAAAAAGTTGTACCAGCCAGGTTAACTGACTGATTGATTTGATCTTAAATTGAAATGTCAATAAATTTTTTTTTTCCTGGACTAATCCGAGTTTGTATTCTTTCATCTCCCCACCGTCCATCCATCATTGTTTTACAAGTTTATTCATTCATTTCTTCCTGTTACACTCGATCCATCTTTGCTATAAATTTTAATTCATTCATTTTCATCTGTAATTTGTTTTCAATCGTTCGTTTCCCCTTGCAAATTTCAACCATCCGTCCATCCATTCGATCACCCATTCGATCATTCATTCATTCATTCATTCATTCATTCATTCATTCATTCATTCATTCATTCATTCATTCATTCATTCATTCATTCATTCATTCATTCATTCATTCATTCATTCATTCATTCATTCATTCTTTCATTCATTCATTCATTCATTCATTCATTCGTTCATTCGTTCATTTGTTCATTCGTTCTGTCATTCTATCACTAAGATGACGTCATCGTGGAAGCAGGAAGATGAACAACCACTGTCACTTCCGTTTTTAAACTGAGGTTGCTGCAAAAAGTGATGATGATGATGACAATGACAATGATGGTGATGACGATGAAAACCGTTATGAAAATTATTATCATCATTATCGCCAAAAGACATCATCAACAATAACAACAACATCATCCCCAACATCATCATCTCCAACATCATCATCATCATCATCATCCCCAACATCATCATCATCATCATCATCCCCAACATCATCATCATCATCATCCCCAACATCATCATCATCATCCCCAACATCATCATCTCCAACATCATCATCATCATCTCCAACATCATCATCCCCAACATCATCATCATCATCGCCATCATCATCATCATTATCATCATCATCATCAGGAGTGTAGT